TGTTGGCCTCTAGGGAAAAAACTTACGTCCTGTAACTACTGCAGAGTTTATTCACCCTTCTCTCTTATGGCTTTTATTTGTGGTAATATTACCATCTGTTCTCTATTTCCCCAGGCTTATCTTCCACTTCACAGAGAGTACATGAAAGATCTACATTATTTCTTTATCATATTTGAGGCTTCTCCAGTCAACATATTTTGGATGATTGCAAAATCTCAACAGAGACTGTTTTAATTCCCATTTGCTTTCTACTAATAAAGGCAGCAATAAAATACTTCCTGAGAAAACGTTAAGAACAATGATGATTTTATTGATGCTCTTCTCCTTAGCTCCTGCCCATAGCAGCAATGCATTTTTCTCATGTCTGAGGCCTTTACAGTGAGAAAGAAGAGAGAGCAGGCAGCCATGGCTTCGTCTGAACTGCTTTTTCCTTACCAAAGTCTGCAGTTCCAGCTCACGCCACCACCCAGGTCCTCAGAAACCCCTCTAGGGAGAAAGGCCAACAGGACATAGCAGCTCAGGTTTCTAGGCAGTGTGAATAGGTGTAAGGAAGCTTTTTATTTCCTTCTTATTTCAAGAGGCATTCTTCCTCCCAGTCAAGCACAGGGAAGACGGAGATCACACAAGATTATTCTTCAGACCTTAACACACTAATGATGATATCCACAATTTTGCCTAAGCTGTAAACAAGTAATAAAGCCGTAACATGCAACCCTCCAGGACATGACCAGCAGCAGACTCAGAGCAGCTGTCAAGGAATCACTTCCTCAGCTCCCTCTGTCCTTCACAACACCACGCCAACTGGCAGGATCCTCAAGTACTGACCATTCCACTTAAAATCAGAAAAACCTCAGACTGCTTTCTCTAACTCACTGCATTTATTTCGAAGTCCCCTGAAAATCTTGTTAGAGCTGCTGCCCACTTAAGACAACAACGTGAACTAATGACTTTGATTCAGAATAGGGATTTTGCTCTTAACTCCTTTTTATCTGTGGAACGGCGACATGAAATCTCAATATTTTTACGTCCTTTCTTTGCTAATAACATCTTCTGCCTTAACGGAAGTTCAAGAGTTTATTCATGAACTTCTTTCAAATATTTCCAGAGCAGATTAATAAACGCAATTGTACGACAGAATTATAAAGACTACATAATTGACAGAATGATGAAGCTTAATTAATGCATTGCTTTTAGATGTTGGTGTGTTGAAACTGAAACTCTAAAGCACACACAGCTTTGCTATCTATACGTTAAGGTGTAACTCCAAGCATAGCACACACAAGACACTCGTTGGTTTGCTCACAGCCTCAGCCGAAAGCTGACCCATACCACATGGTTGCAGCTGCCCGGGTTAGGGCACGTAACACCGCTGGCAGGGACTCAAACAGCTCTGGCTAGAGCATCGTGGAAGGAGCACTCACGAGTACTCCCCTGGGCAGGAGCCAGTCTGAGCCAAGTGACAGCCACCAACAATTTCAGACGTGCAGCGCGAGTTTCAGCTCCGTACAGCGCTGACTTCACACGCCTCCCAGTTCGTACCAGCACAGAAGGTCAAGCATGTTCCCCAGCCTGATGGGCACAGGTAGCACGGGCAGACACGCAGAGCCTATCTCAGCTCTCCCAGCTTAGCAGTACGGAGTTACAAGTTTCATCTTTCCCATGAAAATTTTGGCACACATCTATGAAGACTCAGATATGAAAACAACCTTTAAACTTTCTACCCATGAGAACTGAGTACTTACTATCATGCACAACATCCCACTTTGCAAATCATTAGCTGTTCAGGCACTCACATACTCGCTCACAAAGAGCAGAGGAAAAAGCAGGCCCTAGCTCAGGAGTGGACCAGGAGCACCAAGACATATGGACCCAGCCTAGGACCAAGTCCCAGGACTTTTGCTTGGGGGAAGACCTACCCACCCCTCCTCCGGGGAGGAAACGTTCATGAAAAGCTGCCAGGACAACTCACCTACCAATCTGAAAAAGACACCTTCGTTTCCACTGGCAAATTGTGTACACCTCAGTAAGAATGTGTAACATTGCCAGCTGGGAACTCTACTTTCCAGAGAAAAAACACATCGGTTTTGGAACATGCTCCAGGAAAGGAGTTAATCTGTCTATTTAAACATCCTTGTACCTGATGAAAATATCTTAAAAACTGAACAAATATGTATCATATTTTAAAACAGCTATTGACTGGTTTAAAGCTAAAAAAAAAGAAAATTAAAAACTACTACTCTCCACTAGATTCTTTCCTTAAAACCCTGTTCCAGGATGATCAAGTGATAGATGTGAGTGGAAGGTTAAGAGAGCGTAAAGCAATTCTACCTTTCCATTACTGAAAAGGTTTGCATTTGTGAAATAAGTCAAGTCTGCTGACTTGACAGCAAGAATTAAGTAAAACACTTTCACGTAATTCGCTATCACAGTATCCTTTCTTCTGATTTTTCTACTACATGTATTATTGCATGAAAAATAGTGACAACTATTAAATTTTATTCTCTGTATCATTATTCCTTTACAAACAGATATAATTAGAAAAACTGTAAAGTATTTAACATTTAGTTTTAACACCTCCCTATGATCTGCAAACAGATTTTAAAATGCAGCAATACAAATATTTCCACAACGTTTTATGATTTTCCTAAACGTCAAGTCCTATTAAATCACTCCTTAACAGTTACATGGCTTCAGACGTATATGAAAACACAATTCATGCAGCCTTTTGCACCGCCGGAAGGGTGTAAGTGGGCCTTCAAGCATATAAAACAACGTCCAGAAGTAAATTTTTTGCACTAAACAAGATATTTGCTTTTTTAACATGTTAACAGTTTAACAGCGTAAGACCCAAGGATGAAGAATTTAAATACAGGTAAACATGTTTCTAAGAATACTTTATGTAAACAAGTGCCTTATAAGTCTGTCTCTCTGCAGACAGCCTTTGGCATACTTCTGCTTCAAAGGGTCAAAAATAATCGAAGACTTGGGATAGTTTCTTCCCATCACAGACAGGAGAGAGAACACCCTACAGGGGAAATCAAAGACACTGAAGTCAAATTAATAAACTGAGGCTTGATAAGTTATTTTAGTAAAATCTATGCATTGCAAGAATAACAACGTTATGTATGTAAAAGCCATGTTATTTTGGTCCCTACAGCACTGTCATAACTAATTATAGTGCTACCCCAGCATATGCTAAGGATGCAAACAGTGGTAGCATATTCTCTGGGTACATATAACCTCACAAGAATCTTTGCTCTTGTGGCTTAGGACAATAGAGTTTTGGAAATAATCGATTACCATTACTTTTACCCTGTTACTCCCTGATTATTTACGTCAGCAACATACTCAAAGGTTGTGAACAGCCACATAACAAAACACTTCGTTAAATGCATTTTAAAAACTGGTGTCACCCTTACGATGAATGTAATTATTTAGGGTCTTGACGATACAGAAAGTATTTCTAAACAGTTGTACCAAGAAAGCTTCTAAGCAAAATTAAGGGGTTGAGAAAAATTATGTGCTGTTGGAAAACAATACAGGTATTTGAAAATATACAATGTATAAGTGGCACTGCTGATAAAAAACAAAAACACCCTGTTGTGCTATTCACTGCAGAACACACAGAATAAAAGTCTCTCAGCTAGCTAGCTAGCTACATGGACTCAAGAAAGAGGGTCAGAAAAATGAGATCATTATTCCTAAATGTCTCCTGCATGTATTGGTAATTGTAGCTGGCTGGTTCTATGTTTGTATAGGAAATTATTTCCTTTGTGAACTGGATGAATGGGAGACATCTCCAAGGGGCAAAGAAGATGATCAGAAGTGAAGAATTCCAATTACATCCATGACACAACAGGCTCCTGAAAAAAATCTCCCAAAATTGTCTTCCTATGAAATTTCAGATTGGGGTCGAGAACAGATGAAGTGTGCTCTATGCCTCACTCAAAAATCCTGGGAGATTCCCATTTTGGAGATAATATTAGGAAAAAAAGAGACATTCCAGTAATAAATGGTAATTTCCAAATATTTATCTTCCACTCTGTAAATACAAGTAAGGCTACCCAAAGCAGAAAAACATATTCAAACTAATAAACTAACTCTCAAAAGAACGGAAATGATGTATCTAAAGGCCATCCCTGGAATTCTTTAGCAAATAACTTCTTCATTCCCCAAACTTAACACAAAATAAATAAATAGCCCCCGATTTTCCCAATCTGAACATGTGATTCAGATCCTGAGCGTGACCTTCCAGTTAGTTCAACCCTAGCAGACTGAAAGAAAGAAAGGTATTGATCAGTCTTACACGAAATTACGGTCAGAAAACAGGTGAATTATCTACTGGAGCAACAAAAGCACTGTTTTTGCAGAAATAAGTAATGATCATGACATCCAACTGCAACAAAGCTTGAACTACTTTTAATACACCTCCATCAATTCAGAGCTCCAAGACCACAAGAACTCAGAAGAAGAGAAGTTCCTTTTAATTTTCCGGGAAACTTGAAAGTATTCTTTGTGTAACATGTAGTTCATTTTAAAAGCACACAGATCTCTCCTCTGACCTGCTATAGACACAGGGACTCTGGCAGGTAACTAGGAAGTAGGCTGTAAACTTAGGTTATTTTTTCATTTGTTTTGTGACCTAGCTTCTCCAGATGGTGACATTCTGCAAGAGATACCGGAAAGCAGACAGCAATGGTGTATTTGAGGTTAAACGCAGCCCTTACTTCAGGTAAGAATTAAGTGGGGGCTTTGAACCGCTTAATCTCAAGGAAATACAGATGTTTACAAGTAAACAGGTATTTAAACAACAAATCCTTACTCACTGATGAAAGATGTTACAGATACTAGCAGTCATTTTACAGAACAAATGTGTTTTAACAGAAATAATTTTAGAAAAAAATATATATGCTTTAGCGACATATTTTTCTTATCCCTGCTGCAGACTTCAACATTTGAGTTTACTGTTTGGTTTTCACTGCCAATACCTGTAAGCCACTTAAATATCTGTAATATCACATCTGAATAAAACTTCTTACATCGCACTGAAATAGTCGCTTTCAATTGTTAAATCTGAAAATACAAAACTTGTTCTATGCAAGGAGTGGGAAGTCTTAAAAAAGTGTATCTACAGGCTCACATAGAAAATTCTGACTAAGAAGACATCATTGTATTTGACATCGTATTTGTTTCTTAAAAGTAGGAATACAGAATACCAGACATAGTCAATGTGCATACAGCGCTTTTTGGCTGTTCAAAAATATTAATCTGAAGTGATAAAATTTGATGCTACCTAAAGTAAATTGATAATCTTGAAATTTGATAGATAACGTGAAGCTGATAGACTTGATTTTTCATGTCAGTACATTATAGATTTTACCCTTCAGAAGTGACATTAAAACAAACTGAAGTATGGACACTGCTGTGTGATTTTATGCATTTCATGACATTTAAAATATTAAAATAAGCAATTACAAAAACTAAGGAAATCAAGAGCTAAAGCAAATATGTGGAGAGCTGAGGGCTGTGAAAGACAACATGCAAAAAAGGAAGCATGTAACATCTTTGGCTGGTGCATGTGAGAGAAGAGAGGGAAAAATACATAGATTAAAAAATAATTGTAGTTGCTGTTGTTACAAGGCATCAAGGCATTTTAGAATCTTTTGGAGGTCAGGAAGGGTTGTTTGTTTCCTTTGGGTGTTCTTGTTTCTCTTAAAACAATATCAACCAAGAACAGTTTTTCCTCCATTCTTAAAACAAGGACATCAGGAAGAAAACAGGGACACAATATTTGTAGATTCACTGAAAAATGTATAAATAAGCTACAGGTAAGTGAAGAAGAGAAGCTGAAGACAGTTGTGCATCTGGACCTAAAATGTTGTTCAGAATTCTTGTATAAATAAATTCTGTAAACAAAGATCAAGGTTCTACAAACCTCCCAAGAACCAGAGTTAAGACTTGTATGACGTCTACTCTCATCGACACGGCTGAATCGCACACACCTTTACAGTAATCTGCGGGATCCTCTTGCTCCTCATCGTCAGATCCTAAAATCTCCTCCTCTGGCTCTGGTGGGGTGGGTTCCGGCAGGGGCGGAGGTGGGGGCGGGGGTGGAGGTGGAGGTGCAGAGGGAGCTTTCTGTTGAGGCTCTGGCCTGAAAGTGAGAGAGAACAGCACATTCAGCAAAAAGCTTCCTCACAGGGGTAACCCAACCCTCCAGAGAGATGGAAAAAACCACCTGGGAAAATATCAGTGAAGCCACCTTTGTGGATCATCTTTGACATCACTGGTGGGACTCTGGGGAGGTGCACACAGAGATGCACCTGATCAGATCAAAAGCAGGTCTCTAGCGAACTTGGACTTACTTGCTGAAACTGCTTGCAGCACATTATGTAAAGTATATAATCAGATACAGACAAGCTTTTAGAATTCCTAATGAGCAAATGAGATGTTAGGCCTATCTGCCTGAACACGATTCAGAAGAAATACTTTTCAGAGAATATCAAGTTGTTCAAAAGCTCCTGCCTGCTGGCTGTGGGATAAAAGATCCATTAATACACAGCAAGAAACAATCTTCTAGGGACACTGACCCGAACCAGATGAATTAATACACTCCTCACCCGTAGCTGCTGCCAAGACTATTCGAAGTACACCAAATACCAAAACCAGCTATAAGGAAGTAAGAGGGAAAAAACAATCTTCCTAGGTAGCCTATGATGCACTCACAGAACACACACAACACACTTTAATATGCACTAATTGCAAAAAAAAAAGTGAAATAAAACCACCAAAATCCAACACTGCCAACCAAGAGGTGTTTCTCTGACTGTCTTGTATCTCCAGTTTAGAAAAAAAAACACAAAAAAACCCCCCCAAAAATGTTTTATATCCTATTCCAAGAAAGGCTGTACTTGGTATTTCTAAACACCTACAAATTACATTTTTGAAATGTTGAGTTTTTCAATACACATAAAAAATGAAAACCAGAGTTGAAACACACACGTCTGTCAAACAATTAAGAAAACCTTCTCCAAACACTGTTACTTTTTGTATTCAGAGTTTACGCAAGTAAAAAATATATACTTGCCAAATAATATACTTGCAAAATACATTTGCAAAGTAACTTAAAGCATTTGTGCCATCAAAAGCTGCTATAATTTGCATTTATATTTACTTCAAATCTGTCTGAAAAACACAATATTAACAGTATTTTCTCATTCGTACAATAAAAAATAGAAATCTGTAATTTGCTGATTTTTCAGCTCCTAAAATTTAGACTCAAATACTTCCTTCATCATGAATAAAAACCGTATTTATGCTTATCCTATTCCCATAGTCCTCCTCCTAAGCATTCTCTCCCATCACTTTTTTTTTCTTTTTACACACTGCAATTGTTCAAGACAGACAGAGCACTTGGAGTCGACGAGTACACAGTTGGTCAGAAATAAATTCCACTGGCAACAGGCACCGCCTGCACAGCAGCTGCTGGTCTGCCTTTGCTGTAGAGGACATCACTGGAAGCTGCACGCATACCAAATTTATCTGCCTGCTACCCCTTTCAGATTATAACATTCTTCTATTCGCTCAGTAAATGGTCAGATTTAAAAAGAAATATTTGGAACGAGTTTATTAATGGTTCATGTTACAATGAGAAATCTACACAAATAATTTACATCCTTTTTAACCACATAAAGCTGAAGACAGCATAGAAGAGAGAGAAGGGATCCATTTGTAGGATAAAAAAGAAATATGTTTGCACGTGCTCTTGCTTACACAAATTATGTTTTCTCATTTATATCTTTCCTCTTTTGTTCCCAACAGATGTTTCTATATTTTCCATTGCGAGGGAAGTAAACTGATACAGCAAATGGACGGTACAGCACACTCTCTGATCAGTGACTCCTACTGCACATTACATTAATGACCCTCCCACAGCCTGGTTTCACAGTGTCAGCAGGCTGAGGGTCCCCACGTCTGACACTGGTAGAAAGCTTTAAATAAATAAATCACAGTATAAATATCTACACCACAAACCTTGAAACCTCATCTGTGGGGCACGAGACCATTTGGGATGCATAAATCGAGAGCTATCAACACTTAATAACACTAATGATGAGTGACAAAAATAAAGCACAGTAAAACAGCCCACACTCCATTAACATATCTGAAAGCAGCGTGTGGCACCACACCGGCACATCCATCACGTGCTGGGACTCCTTATTTTGGACGATATCATCATTTTACTTTGTTCTGGCCACTAGTTTCCATGTTATTCTTTTGGTCACATAGGATGGTACAAACACAGCAAAATCTAGGGTAAGCTATGGCAATGCAGTACAGGGATCATAAGTTCAAAAATCTATTGAGGTTGTGCTGATTTTGTCTTTTAAGATACCAACTAGTTGCTCTATTTCTTCACATGATAAAGATAATATTATAAAGAGAATTTGAAGCATTTCTGGAATTGAGATTCACACATTCTGTTGTTAATTTTGAAACAAGCATCAAGAATACCAAGAATCTCCCTCTAAGAAAGGCAGGAAATGTACAACCCAAGATTTCAAAAAGTCAATATCTGAATTTATTCTTAGGGAAATAGATAAGAAAACAGAGCTGCTTTTGAGTCTTTCTCAAGGTACTATATTTGATTTTGTTTGAAAAGGGTTAGTTTTTTCCTGTCTCCAATCCTAGCTGTATCTGGTATTCACAACTGTTTTCTTATTGTCCTTGGTGGACATCAGGAAGGAAGAAAAGATATTACTTTATTTCCTTCTGGAGTTATTTATGATTTTATCTACAAATAACAAAGCACCGATACAAACTGAGGAAGATATTTGATTTGGCCAATCAAGCAATCAAGTATTAGTATATGAAGAAGGATGAAGAAAAGAAATGCTGCTCAGTTCCATCAGCCTGACTGCTAATTCTGCATTAGGGGCTTGCTTTGCCTTTTTTTGCTTCAGTTGAGGCTTCTTAGCATTGTTCTCTGGTTGCGTTCACTTATACATCTCTGGGGGTATACGTAAAGATCAAGTCTTTAGTGCTTAACTTGGTGCTTAAATTCTGCCTACAAGTTGGACAATTCATCCTGGCATCCCCGATACTTGCTGTTCTGCCAGTACACAATTTTAGTGTTGGATAGGACACCAGCTGATGACAGAACTCCAGTTTTGCTGTTTCTTAGTAGCCCTTTCACTGAATTGGAAAGATAAGCTATGATGAATGCTTCAACAATATCTTCCCTTGCATGCCATAAATATATACTTTGTTCAGCTTAGATTTCATTTTTCCAGTACAAAGTCGGTTAAAATGTGAATTATTTTTTCTTCAAAGTGAACTTCAAAACATCTTTGGCATTAAAAACTCAGCCATTAAGAAAGCTGTGTAGTAATAAACACGTATGCTGACCTCCATTTCCTTTTCAGAAATGTAATTGTCAAAATCTATCATAACAAGCTATATTCAGCAGCTACATTATTTCAAGTTACTACTCTTTTCATTTGCTAAAGCACTGTATGTATAAGGTAATACATGCATGCAGAGGCATATACTAAATCTGATTTTCTTTATTCCAAAGTAATCACTTGGTACTCTGTGGTCTACCACCAATGTTTTATTCATTACCATCCAAGCGTAAACACTTAATTAATAGAAGAAGATGACACATCATTTCTAGACTCACAGTATTTTGTCAGCAGGTATGTAGAGAACTGACCATTTCCACAGGCTACAACAGCAACTCTTAAAATTATATTGGAAGAAGCATTACAAACAATTAACAAACATTAGCCAGGATGTTTAATCTTGTAATTACTCTCTTTTAAATGGAGAAAAATAAATTTGCAGCCAGATCCAATCAAAATACAATGAAATCCCATTTGTAACCTGCTCTTAGAGGGAATGCTTTGTAAAAGACAAAAGAAAAGCTGAAGCATTTCTCTACAGTGAACTTGAAGCAAAATACACAAAAATGTCACAGAGAGTTTTTCAGAAAATCAATTGTCCACTTTAAGAAATGTAAAATTACTGACAACTTCATTTTATTGCTCTCTGTCACATAAATGTTGATCCATGCTTCAGCTGGGAAACAGTCAACAGTAAATGCAAGCTCGGTAACTTTAAAACCTGAAAATGTTGGGAAGATTATAACATGACAAATTCAGGAAGAATTTTTCCATTTTTTTGCTGTTGATGTTGTAGGGTTCTTTGCTATTCTGTCCTGGAAAAGGTGAAACAAGAGCAGCGAGGGTGATTAAAAACACAAAATGCCTTTCATATGAGAAGCATCTGAACATACCAGAACTTTTCAGTCAGTATAACAGACAGCACAGATCCATAAAATCTTGAGAGGCACAGAGAAAATGGAACAGGAATAGGAATAGGAAATGACTGTTCACTGCCTCTTCCCACACAAATGGAGCCAAGTTGACAAAAAAGCTAATGAAAAAAAACTTACTCATGTAATGTTAAAAACTAAAGCCACTTTTCGTCCCTTGAAAACAGGGATAAAAGACGTTACTTAAGTTCAAACAAGGCTCAGAAAAACACATGGAAGTCGGATCAACTATTAGCTTTTGGCTTAAGACACCCATCAGCCCAAGGTAGCCCCTTGTTCCCCAGGGTTTGGGAAGGAATTCGGCACATCAGGGCCCAGCCCTGTGCTCTTCCCCCGGCAACTGCTCTTGGCCAGAGGAAAGGCAGATGCACCTTGGACCTGACCTCGGGCAGTCAGCTCATCTTCATTTTTCCTTCCCTTTTCCTGAACTGATAGTGAATGACTTCCATTACAACACAAAACAGGCTTCAGGCCTCTTTACTGAAAACTCTCACGGACAGAAACATGTTTTGAGTGTTATTATCAAACAATGATCAAGCAAGATGACCTGCTTTGCCCTGGTAAGGCCACATCTGGAATATTGTGTCCAGTTCTGGGCCCCTCAGCTCAAGAGAGACAGGGAACTGCTGGAGAGAGTCCAGCGCAGAGCCACAGAGATGATGAAGGGAGTGGAACATCTCCCTTCTGAGGAAAGGCTGAAGGAGCTGGGTCTCTTTAGCTTGGAGAAGAGGAGGCTGAGGGGTGACCTCATAAATGTTTATAAATACGTCCAGGGGGAGTGTCAGGAGGACGGAGCCAGGCTCTTTTCAGTGACATCC